AGTGAAGCATGAAGGAGGTATGATAGAGACTTCATCGACACGCCTGTTCTCCTGCTGTGGAGGAGCTGTGCTGTGACAGCTCCTCCAGGAGAAGCCTAGATAAATTCAGGTTTTCAGTTCATGTGTGGAAAGCACTTTGCACCCATTAACTCCCGATAATGTCCGTAAGATGGGGTCCGGACATTCTCAGGAGTTCTTCTTTCACATATGAACACTGCAGCTCTCTGAACTCTCTGCAGCGTTAAGGTGAGGGGTGGTGCAGAATGAAGCAGGCAGGACATAACGTACAAACTCTGCTGCAGAGATCGGGTGATTTCGTTTACAGCACATCGACACCAGCGTTTGCTCTTATCACAAAAACCTCTCTGACCTCATCATCTTCCTAAATTAACATCTTGTGACATGTCGCCTTAATATAAACACTCGCTGGCGGCGAATCCTTCGGAGAATCTCCTCCTGTGTTCTCCCATCGGCTCATTCGGACGTTATCCACAGTTTTTACTAGCGACAGGAGAAACTGACTCGAACATTTGTGTTCTCACATACAGCTGGTCCGGATTGTTTCAGGAGATTATCATGTCTGAAAGCAGCTCTAGTGTCTAAATGGTACATGAAGCAACACCCCCCCACCCAGAGCTGTTTGTGGTCTGAGACAATTCAACACTTGAAGTGAGACTTTTGGAACAGACGTCTCTGAGGCCTCCATAGTTTACATGTAAGCTGCTGGACACACGCAAACAAGTTACACCCGCCAGTCACTGCCACAGGAAGTCCAATCATCTGACACATCAACTATCACACGTAAAGTTAAGAAGCAGAGGAGCTCAGATGTCTCTTTCTATTTAACTCACATGCTTGATAAAACATCAGGGAGTCAACAAATGAAGTTTAAGATTTTAAGACCTTTTTAAAACCACTTGAAATGAAATTTAAGAACAAGCTTGTAATGGGAACACACACCAAGATAGTTCCAAGTATATCTGTTCCAAGTTAACACACTTCTGAGCGTTTGACTCCCACGTCTTGATCCCCACTGTCTAATACACACCACAGTTTGCTTCATTAACACGTCCACAAGAACTCATCATTCTCAAACTACTTATTGTTCAACTTACATTTCCCCGTGTTCACAAAGCGGCTGGAAGAGGCAGCGAGACCTCATAACCTCAACCAGAAACACAGTAACAATGCTGGGCACAATAATTTATCTGTAAAATATAATTTAAGACAATTTGAGACACCCTGAAAAATACTGCGTACAGACTTACATGCACTAAAACACTACATTTATAAAGTACTGGCACACCATCACACAGGTTCAAGATGAGATACAGAAGAATTCATCCATCCTGTCTATAAAGTGAGGCGTGAGGAAAGGACAGTCCATGAGTGCTGCTCGATGTCTGGTGAGAAAATGTGAAAACATATGACTGAAGTGACGTTGAGCGCGTTGCTAACTGCTGCCACTCGTGTTTCTTTCACTGCCTCAACAATCTTTGCAGCAGTTGTGTGAACGCAGCTGGAAATTCACTGTTGACAGACACACACACACCCAGCGATGCCCACTTCAAGCAAAACTATTAAAAGCCACGGCTGACAGAGACGCTCTGAAATATACTTTACTGTAACACTTGGGCCCTAAACTTGCATTAGGTTAACAGAGAATATATATCCATTAAAACTGCTGCAAGTAAACAATCCACAAGAGGATATTTGATTGATGGGGACTCGGTCTAATCTGGCCTGTGCACTGATTACAAAAGAAGAAGAAAGCACCATCCGACGGGGCACCACTGGAGTTTGGAGAAGCTGCTGACGTGTGAGCAAGCTGCTCTGGAATGTTTGTGCATTCCAGTCAAAGGGTTCTTGCACCAGGACGAAGGGAACAAGAGAGAGAACTGCACCTCCCCTTCACCTACCTTCTCCCGCCTGAGGAGCCAGACTCAACACAACACAGCGGCTCCAGCTTCATTCATCTTAAAGGTTAATAAGAAGGTGTTTACAGTTATCAGGCACGTGGGTTATTAGGTTTTTACTGCAAACACACTGTTAATCTGCCAGAAGAGATTAGACTTAAAACACGTCTTTATCAAAAGACCTTTGTCGTATGATGTCTATGACTTTTACTATCTGTAAGTTTACTTTGTAAATTTCATATTGTTTGTTGTAAAGCACTTGTGATGAAAAGTGCCATTAAAGTTATTACTAAAACATATTATTAAAAGTTCTGTTCACACGAACTTTCTTCTTAAATCCACGACTAAAGTCTAAAACCGTCAGATCCTTTCAGGAAAACTGAGTCTGGTATTCTCTCCTCAACAAGAGATCAAAACAAGAGAGCCGTACTGGCAGACAAATAGAGACACATGTGGTGGTGTCAGGTTTTCGTAAATATAAGGTCATCAAATTCCTCAAAAAGTACCAAAAAGGAGTTTTGGTTTGGAAATTTAAAATCAAACTTTGCTGAAAACGAAACAATTTTGTGAAGTGAATTAACTCCAGATTACAGCAGACGAAGTGTCTCTCCGTGTTCTAACAGCTAGATTTTCTTGTCTTCCAAATACAAATCCCAGGAGGCTGGGCGGATAGCCAAGAAGATCAGCTGACAACACAGAAGCAGCCGTGTGTGCGAGCACACGTATAAACTCCATAGTTTAAGCCTGACTGAAGACCCATGTTATTTCTATGATGAAGAAAATGAGGAGAAAGGAGATTTAAACCTTAGTCGTTCATTACTGACAACAAGACTGAGATTAGAAACCTTTTCCAATATGCTCGTCTATGATCTTTCTAAGATACGTTGTACCTTGAACCTTTTTCAGACCAATGCATGAGGATGTTTTTGAAATGCTCCTCTGTCAACAGGATTACATCCTCTTAATACCTTTATCTTTTCAGCCTGAACAAATCCTTACTCATTGTATATAGGGTACTACTACTGATCCAATTTAATGAATTGTGTGTGTGTGTGAACATTTTAGAATGAATTAAGAATAATGACATTTGGACTTCTTACTCCTGAGTCACACTGGGTGCATGTGGGGTGTATGAAGGCTGTGACGCTGATTTACTGTGTGTCATCTGTTGTTTTTACAGTGTGTAGCCTTCTGGTATAACCACTGCAGTACTTTGAATTAAAGTAGGTCTGAGAACTCAACTAAATGCAAGAACTCTACAGGGTGAAGACAAGCATCTTCAAGTCGGAAAACACATGAATGGATTCAGTCAACACAAACTTTAGAGTGCTTTTACTTTGTAACAGGAAGAGAAAGTGCTGCAAATATAGATGTTTGTGAGTTAATTCCACAGCCAGACATTAAAACTGCGCTCCCTAGAAGAGCAGCTCAGCTCACTGACGGCCCACGTCGGCAACGTGGCTGCTCTAACCTGATAACATGGGCGGCGGAATGAAAAGCAAGCTGTTCCACAACGCACACGCAGCCGTCACTTTACATAGTATGCAAACATCAGTTCACCGCTAATACTTCCATCAGCTCAACAAACACTGAACACGCGCTTGCCTGGAACTAGTCTGTGTGAATGCTACTGATGACTATTCTCTATTTCGACATGTTTATCAGCGTATATTTATTCTCACAATGCAGCAGAGTGAGGCCTCAGCATCCCACACTTGTGTGTTTGACATCACTTCCTAGAATGTGATGTTCCACGAGAGATGGGACGTGATGAGTTAGAAGAGAAACACCGTGTTAACTTTATAAAACTGGACGCTGGTTCAACCAAAGCTACACTAAGCTGATTGCCTGCCTCTTATGCATCATTGAAAGGTGGAAACTTGATCCCTTTGTTTTAAATTTAAGACCACAGCAGGTAGAAACATGAGTCAATAATATAACAGAGCGCTGCAAGCAGATGGACAAAGCTGGGATCGAGACTCCCTCCGCATTATGCAAATAGCAGAAACAGGAGTAGAGTTATGACTCTAATTACTGTAAGAAGCTTATTTCATATTAATTGTACGCACAGTAGTGCTGAGGTTTTCATATTTTGCAATAAGCATTGCAATAATGTACCATGTTACATTATTCCTCTGACATGTGGAATAATTTAACGTGAGAAATAAACACACCTGCAGTGCAACACTTTCTAAAAAACAGAATCCTTTCTTTCTTTCTCTCGGAGGACTTTGATCGGTCATTATGATATTTATTAAATTAGACTTCTCCAAGATTATAGCGTGCCACGGTGGGCCTAATTTGCCTTGGTGCACACCCCGCTGCACATTGCAATCAGCGAACCATACAACGCACAAAACCAAGCCAGACTCTGGTACCACTTTGTCCACAGTGGGAGCCAAAGATCTGCAAGAGCCGTCATCCAAAAGTGAAACTGACACTTGGGCTAAAAATGCTGCGAGGACTCAGGCGGGAAAGGTGCTCCAAAGGGCACTGGTGTGTTTTTTAAGTAACACCCCAGTCTCACTGAAACAGTGACGCTGGTCAAGACAATATTTAGGGTCCCTCTGTTCCAAGCTTTGGTAAAAAAAAATGGGACGACAACAAGGAACGGAAAATAAATACGGCTGCATGATATCAGGAAAACATGTGATAACGTTGTGATGACAATAAGTAAACAAATCATAGATCATCCAGATGCTCTCACTTGGACATTTACGTTCACACGTGCACCTCGTCCGGAGAAAGTGTCTCCGCAGTTCATGTCTAAAGGCAGCTTAAGAGGGGCGATCAGGAGAGAGAGTGTGCACATGATAAAAAGATATGGCTGAAATGAAAACTAAACATTTAACTGGCGATTGATTTGATATCATTCAGAAAGCAGGCTGATAGCGTGACTGTTCATCAGTCCAACACAATGAGTAGAGCCTCGTCACGCACCTGTCTGCTTTCTGAACGTGATCTCTAATTACAACCATCATTTAGCAGCGGACAAGTCTCCATCATCTCCACGTACACATTGTAATCATCCAACTCCATTCCTGTGTTTTCCAGAGAAAATGAAGGACGTGCTCTCGGGCTTACCTGCGGCAAAGCAGTGTTGAGTTGTCTCTGCAGCGAGTCTCTTTCGTGGCTCACTTCGTGCAGTTTGCCCTGCGTCAAGCCCAGGTTCTCCTGAGACTCCCTCAGAGTCTCAAGAAGACGATCCCGCTCCTCCAGCATGGACACCATCAGCGACTCAAAGTGACCCTCTGAGTCAGACTGCAGCGGGGAGCCGGAGCCCCGTCGGCCGCTGCTGCCGATCCCACCGGGCCCTTCGGCCTCACTGATGGTGGGCATCACCTCGCACATCATCTACAAACATGAGACAAGAATGAGGGGGGGTGGAGAGAGGAACAACACAGAGCTGGGAGCATGGACAGTTTGTGAACTATAACATTTCATTCGTATAACAGACTAACTCTTCCCTTATGAAAGGGAGGTTTCTCTGGCAAATTACATTCACTACAACTGTGAAAACTCTTCACCCCTATGATTTCTTGCACAAGCAGAATGTAATACACACACACTACAGGAGCAAAATGTTTTTTATCACTGACATCTGCAATTTATGCACAATAAACTAAAAAACCCACAGAAATGTAAAAGTCTGAACGTACACTGATTTGACTTGTGCGAGCAAATCTGAATTTGTTTTGGTTGGAAATTCTCCGTTTTCATTCAATCTCCAAAACAAACACTGAAGAATGTGGACGAAAAGATGAAGGAAACAATGAGAACTGTAACCAGTTCATTTAGTGGGGACGATGTCTTGCACATCCTCGTCTCAATGAATTGAAATGTGCAACTCAAACATCGGGGGCTTCATTGTAAATGTTTTTCAATTTGGTTGAACGTTCAGGCTGTAAACTAAAGCAGTCTGCTCCTGACACAGTGGAGTTACAACAGTGGGCAAGTTGAAAAGTTTAAAAGCTGACATTACAGACACAACATCAGCCCACAGAACACCACACCACCTAACCATCATGGAAAGCTCAGTCGCATCAGCTGACCCTGCTCAATGATTGTTGGTAATGGTTGACTACAACTAGAACACAGTAACAGTGTAGTTCAGCTACATGGGAATTGTTTGGAAAAGAAGAGAGAGGGTTAAATAAATCACAGGCAACTAAGACGGCTGTGTGGTGTCTGAGGCCGGAAGGTCGGAGGAATTAGAGCCACCCTGCAGACTGAGGGGTTCAACAAAAAGCCAACAATCATGTGAGCTGGATTTACATACCTACGAGGGACAACAATTTACAAGTTGGACAAGCCAAACCGCCCCCCCCGCCTCCATTCATCTTAGTGTCCTGCATCACCTGAGACACCGAAAGCCATTTGCTTTCAGAAACCACTGTATTTGGTTCAGGGCACCGTCCGGCAACTGTGTTCAGGAGCTGGGCCGTGCTCGTGACACACAAATGAACCATGCCGCGTTTATTTACCTACAACTGCAGAACGCAGGTTTGACAGGTAAACACCGTCACTGGGATTTATAACATACAAAAGCAACGCTCCATATCCAGGTCAAGCCACCGAGCCACTGTGTTTATGAGGGGGAGGGTCACTCAGCATCCAGTGACAGATGGTGGGTCCAGACTTAGTGTGGACATGGCAGACGTCAAAAAGTAAAGATGACAGACAGGAAGAGGATGTGGAGGCAGGACACCTTCACTTTAAAAGACTTCAAACGAGTGAGGGCAACACCACATGTGCCTCTTCTCAAAGTGTAACGTGGATAATTACTGATGACACCTCAGACAGATGAGGCTTCACCTCAATCACACAACTCTGTACCACGGTGGGTCACGTGGAGGAGGAACCGTGACMTTGTGCCCGGTGTTCCTGCGGCTCACCTTGGATGAAGAAGTTCAGGTGTCTCCGTGAGCCACGTTATTCTGCGACGCCGTGCAAACACAGTCCCGGTGATCCGCTGCGTGTCACCGGCCGACCGAGCTTCAACTCACACGTATCGAGTCCCTCAGCGGGTG